GCTGTTAATTGGTAAAAAAAAATGCTGAGATCTGGATCAAGACAGTCCCTTGAGTAACCCTACTCTTAAGACAAAACTTCAAAGGAATTAGGAATCACCTGTATGCAGCATGCCTTACACCCACCGCTACCCAAAAGGCCCTTAACTGCGCCTCCTCTCTCAGGTCACCGAGTGCACTCCCATCTGGGTGTGTACTGTCTGACAGTAAATGAACCTTCTTGTTGCAAAAGCCAACTGGACTTGTCTCTGAACTCTTTACCCTAATCAAGACAGAAACCCTCTGACCTCCACCTCCAGAGGTAAACATCTCTGTCACTTTGCTACTTCATTCAGTTTTCTAGTTTTAACTGGACTTGTCTCTGAACTCTTTACCCTAATCAAGACAGAAACCCTCTGACCTCCACCTCCAGAGGTAAACGTCTCTGTCACTTTGCTACTTCATTCAGCTTTCTAGTTTTACAATCCTTTTCTCTCTCCCTGTTTTATTTAAGGCCAGTGGGGAAGGAGTAGTTCTTAGAATATAATCTCACTCCATCCAGGGCTCCATAGCTCCCCAAATTCTGGGATTGTAGGGATATAATTCTCACGCTGTGCAGATCAAGTGGACACTGGGTGCCAGATGACACTGGCTTCAGGAGTTGCCAAGGAATATGCCCTGTGCTGAGCAACAATTCAATGAACTTTCTTTTTCTCCCTCTGCTCTGCCTTGCTCTCTACTGCCTGCACAGCTGCTGACATTTGCTTCTACTCTTGCTGTGATGAAATCCTTTCTTCCTGGCACACGTTTGACCTGGTCGAGAATTCTTTCCCTATCAGAGTCAAGAACTGTCCCCGATCAGGGTTGAGGTTTCACGTAGTACCCAGGGAGAGACCTGCCCAGCAACACCAGCATTCAGCTGCTGCTGTACAGGAGAGGGACCCACATGGGCTGAGTCCACACCCACAGCACGTTCCTGGAAAAGAAGGTGAGGCCAGGCGTCCACTCCTAACCCAGGGCCTTGGGCTCCTGAATTCTCTCCAATTCCTCTTTCCCATCCCTGGGCAGCATCTGCCACTGCCACATCTCCTACAACACTGCAGTCCATCTGGCTCTCTCCAGGTCTCCTCCAGAACTCAAAATAAACATACTTGTTATGATTCCTTTTTTAATGAAAAAATTCAATGCACGAGCTATAGAGGCAACAGCAGAATATTTCCTAATACAGGCCACCGTGTCTATATTACTAATGCTAGCCATCACTATCAATCTCATATTCTCTGGACAATGGGCTATTACAAAAATGTATGATACCATGGCATCTATCATCATTACCACAGCCATAGACATAAAACTGGGAATAGCCCCATTCCACTTCTGAGTTCCAGAAGCAGCACAAGGAACCCTGCTGTCATAGGGCATACTACTATTAACCTGACAAAAAAATCGCACCCATCTCAGTTCTGTGTCAAATTTCACCTACAATTAACATAAACTTGATAATACCTAGAGCAACAGTCTCAATTTTAAATGGAGGCTGAGTGGGTCTAAATCAAACACAATTACAAAAAATTACAGCTTACTCCTCAATTGCCCACATAGGTTGAATAATAACATATAATCCAACTATTACTATTCTAAATCTAATTTATATTATAATGACCCTATCAATATTCATTATGCTAGTATACAACTCATCGACAACAACCTTATCTTTGTCTCACCTATCAAATAAGACACTGCTATTTACAACCATTACGCTCACAGTCCTAACTATACTTGGAGGCCTTCCACCATTAGCCAGATTTTTACCTAAATGAATGATCATTTAAGAACTTAACAGAAACAACATAATATTACCAATAGCAGTGATAGCTCTACTAAACTTCTATTTTTATATGTGCTTACTCCACAACACTAACAATATTCCCAATAACCAACATAAAAAGTGACAATTTGAAGCTACAAAACACATAAAATTAGCCCCACCCCTAATTATTCTATCCACAATAATACTTCCACTAATTCCAACCATATCAATTCTAAACTAGAAATGTAGGTTACACAGACCAAGACCCTTCAAAGCTCTAAGCAAGTATAAAACACTTAACTACTGATCCTAAGGACTGTAAGACTCTATCTACATCACTTGAATGCAAATCAAACACTTTTAAGCTAAATCCTCACTAGATTGATGGGATACAAACCCATGAAACTTTAGTTAACAGCTAAAAACCCTAATCAACAGGCTTCAATCTACTTCTCCCACTATTAAAAAAAAAAAAGTGGCAGGAGAAGTTCCGGCAGAATTGAAGCTTCTTCTCTGAATATGCAATTCAGTATGCAAAGCACCTCAGGACTTGGCAAGAAGAGGACTTTACCTCTACCTTTAGATTTACAGTCTAATACTTATTCAGCCACCTTATCCATGTTCATCAATCGATTATTTTCAACTAATCACAAAGATATCGGCACATTATCCCTACTTTTTGGCACTTGAGCTGGAATAGTGAGACCTGCTCTAAGCCTTCTTATGCTGCTGAACTAGGCTAGCCTGGGACCCTCTTAGGTGGTGACCACATCTATAATGTAAGTATGTAACCGGGCACACCTTTTTAATAATTTTCTTTATGGTGATACTATTATAATTAGGGGCTCTGGAAACTGACTAGTGCCTTTAATAATTAGTGCCCCAGACATAGCATTTCCCCATATAAACAACATAAGCTTTTGACTCCTCCCTCCCTCCTTCCTCCTTCTCCTAGCATCCTCTACAGTTGAAACAGGAGCTGGAACCGGATGAACCGTATATCCCCCCCTTAGCAGGTAAATTAGCACATGCAAGGGCCTCAGTGGATTTAACTATTTTTTCTCTTCACTTAGTAAGTGTCTTATCAATTCTAGGGGCTGTTAACTTCATCACAACTATTATTAACATAAAACCTCCCACTATAAGCCAATATCAAACTTCACTATTTGTGTGATCAGTTCTAGTTACAGCTGTACTCCTCCTACTGTCCCTACCCTGTTCTAGCTCCCAGCATTACTATGCTTTTAACAGATCGCAAACTACATACATTTTTGGATCCTGCTGGGGGAGGGGATCCAATTTTATTATCAATACTTACTCTGATTTTTGGTTACCCCGAAGTATATGTTTTAATCCTTCCTGGCTTTGGAATCATCTCTCATATTGTAACCTACTATTCTGGGAAAAAAGAACCTTTTGGGTATATGGGCATAGTCTGGGCAATAATGTCAACTGGCTTTCTAGGCTTCATTACGTGAGCATATATATTTACAGTAGGCATAGACGTTGATACACAAGCCTGTTTTATATCTGCCACTATAATTATTTCAATTCCAGCAGGTCTGAAAGTATTCAGTTAATTAGCAACTCTGCACAGCAGAAATGTAAAATGATCCCTGGCCATATTATGGGCCCTAAGCTTGATTTTCTTATTTACAGTAACTGGCTTAACTGGTATTGTACTAGTTAATTCATCATTAGATATTGTTCTTCATACTTACTATGTAGTAGAGCCTATTTTATTATGTGCTCTCCATAGGTACAGTTTTTGCTATTATGGGGGGATTTGTACACTGATTTCCTCTATTTTCAGGATACACCCTCAACCCTACATGGGCAAAGATTCACTTTACAATTACATTTGTGGGTGTTAATATAATTTTTCCGCTCAACATTTTCTCAGACTTTCAGGAATACCACAATGTTATTCTGATTACCCAGATGCTTACACAACATGAAATACTGTGTCATCCATAGGATCCTTTATTTCACTAAGTGCCATTATAATTTTACTACCTGAGAAGCTTTTGCTTTTAAATGAGAGGTGCACATAAGTAGAACTAATACTGATCTTGAATGATTACACAGCTGCTCCCCACCTTACATTTGAGGAGCCTGCCTTTGTAAACTTAAGCAAACAAGGAAGGAATCAAACCCCCCAAAAATGGGTTCAAGCCAGTATCATAACCTCTTTCTCAATTATTGAAGTAGTAGTAAAATTTACATAACTTTGTCAAAGTTAAATTATAGGCCTAAGTCCTGTATAGTTCCACGGCATGCCCCTTTCAACCCAGGCTAAGGGGCTTTGGGAGCCATAAGCCTACAGGGAGAATGAACTCGATGCTACTGACATTTACCCCAGGAAACTGACCCTCTGGCTGGGCTTCACGGTGCCCATCAGGGCCTGTAAGTAACTCCAAGGAGAGGGGGGTCTGGGGGTTTATGTGCGCTTCAGGCCTCCTCACCTTCTCTGTCCCAAAGCTACCCTCTGTTTTGATGGCACCATGGAACAAAATGTTAACTCCTATCCTGTACTTCATTATTTATTAATTTTCTAAAAGCATGTACCAGATTGAGTTGCATCAGCAAGCAGGAATGACCACTTCACTAAGTAGCCGGCCTAGATGGCTGCAAGACACAAACTACCCATTCCTACACCCACAGATGCATGTATATTAGGGCAGCCCGAGTTCACCTCCAGAGTGCCAGAATACAGTGTCTCTACAACACTGACCCATAATTTTTGCTCTTAGGAAACTTCACACCAAAATACATACAATAAAATGCACAAATTGTAAAGTTCGATGAATTCTGACATATGTACAACACATCACCATTGCCTAGATCAAGATATCAAATATTCTCATTTTCTCACCCCTCACCTACTTCAAGACATTTTTGCCAAGGAGGCATACAGATGGCCAACAGATGCTCAATATCACTCATCATCAGGGAAATGCAAGACTAAACCCTATGAGATGTCACGTCCCATCAGTCAGAATGTCCAAAATCCAAGAGACAATAAAGTAACAGGTGTTGGCAAGGATGTGGAGACAACGGAATGCTGGTGGGACAATGGCTCCAAGTTGGTGCAGCCACCATGGAAAGCAGGAGGGAGGTTTCTCAGAGAACAGCTGTGCTGTCTGTCATGCTATGGGATGAGGAAGGGCACTGAATGGTGGCTTGCTAAGGATGCTAAAAGGAATTACCTACCTGCCTCGTGTGACCCTGGTGGTAGGGAACAGCAGATGTTTGCAGAAATGGATCAAGTAGAACTTTCATAAGTTGACTTCAGAGAGACAAAGTTGTTCCCTGTGGAGACCTTATAGGAAAAACAAAAATGTCAGTAAGAGGGTGAACCTGACCTACTGGGCTTCCCCACTAAGAAGGGACAGTCCACTAACAGATGGCTTTTCGGAGGCAGAGAGAGTAGGTCACAGGGGGAAGCCCTGATTTGCAGGCAACCTGCCAGGTGGAAAGGGGTGGGGAAGGATGCTCTCACCTATGACTATGCATGCTCCAGGGGCCTCCATGCTGAGACCAATCTCCCCAGCAGCCCACCCCAGTCTCCCCACCTGACTTCTCTGCTAGAGAGTTATAGAAAGCCATCTGCCTTCCTCAAGCTCTCCTAGTGCACAGGCACCCAGACACAAACACTGTCCCAGGCCACACAGTGCTCTAACACACACACACCACCATGTGTGCAAGAGCTACCACACGCACACACACATGAAGGAGGGCAGCTGACACCACAGCGAAGCATTCACCAGTGGGCCAAGCCGCCACCACGCAGCCGCAGGGACCGTGACACAGTCCCTGGACTCCCGCGCTGACCCGTTTGGAAGCACAGGAGGCCCTCCCCACCCCCGAGGATGCACCCTTGCAGCAGCCATGCCCGCATGCCCACCGACCAGACATCCGAACCATTACCTGCAGTCAGAGCTTGTGGGCCTGGGGAGCTCCCAGCTGAAATCCAGTCCCCTTCCTGGCTGGGTAGGTGCATGCGCTGCCCATGGCTTTCCATTGCCCACCCACAGCTTTCCACTTTTCTCCCGGGGCCCATGCAACACCCTCAAACCCCCTGATAAAAAAGCCAACATGAGGGCGGCTACTTACTATGCCCTGAGGCTGCTGCAAGGCGGCGAGGCCTGTGTGGGAACCAGGGAGCCGGGTCCCTGGCAAGGGGGTCCCTGTTGGTGGTGGTACGAGTCTGAGGGCATCTGGCAGCGGAGGGCCGTGAGCGTCGTCGGCAAAGGCAGCGAGCGACTTCGGCGTTAGCGGAAGAAGGCATTGGAGGGCAGCAGTGGCAGCAGGCGTCCAGGGCAGGTGTCAGCAGGAGGCAGCAGTGGGCAGGGACAAGAGAGAGGCGGGCTCCAGGACAGGTGGCTGCACTTTGGTGGAGGGAAGAGGCGTCAGAGGCCTTTGGCTTTGCCTGGTGGGTGAGCATGCTGGGCGTCGGGTGTGGGCAGACTCCGTCCCCTTACACTGCTGCCCCTCCACCCCGGAACCAACACCAACCAACACAGCCAGCCGCTGCTGCCAACTGGCGCTCACCACCACCAGTCACCACCCCCAACCTACGCCATCGCCAGCCATGGCCAATGCCGCCGCCACCCTGCCCTCGCATCTGGCTGCGCACCTGCCGACGGCAGCTTCGGAAGTCTGCCTGGGGCACAGACACCCGCGCCTCCCGCCGCTGTGGACGCCACAGCCCACCATGGAGCGCGGCCCATCCACGCTGCCGGCCACTGCAGACCCCGCTCCCCGCCGCTGCCTCTGCCGCCTCTCACGGCGCACCTGCAGAAGGCGGGTTGGACTCTGCCCCCAGCCGCAGACCCCACCGCCGAGGCACCCCAGCCCGCAGCTCCCCGCAGCGGATTCCTTCCCCGCCCGATCCCTCCCCGAGCCGACGCAGCCTACCCCCTGGGGGTGGCTGCTTACGGTGAGCTGCCGCTGCGAGGACAGGCCTGCGCAAGGAAGAGGGCACAGGGTCCCTGGCGAGGTGGGCCCCTGGAGCCAGCGGGAGGCGGCCGCTGTTGGAGGGCTCCAGCCGGCGGCGCAGAACTTTGGCGGGGAAGGGCGACATCAGCGGGAGGAGGCCTTGGCAGCGGTGGGGCAGCAGCCGCCGGGGACGGTGTGAGCGGGAGGCACAGACTAGCGGCGGGCGGGCTCAAGCAGGAAGCTTCCTTCTCTGCAGCGGGTAACTGTGCAGTTGGAAGGAAAGATGGTGGGCACCGGAAGTGGGCGGTGCTGGCCGGTGGGACGAACATGCGCAGCGTTGGTTGCGGGCGGACCCCGGCCCCTCCAGCGGCGCTGCCCCCAACTACCCAACGTCGGAGCACGCGCGCATTAATCCCAAAGTCCCCTTTCTGTGCAGCATCCATGTAAAATAAAAGACGGTACTCACAGAACCCAAGAATGGACTAACAGTTACCAAAGAGAAAGGGACTGGGAAGGATGGGAGGGAGGGAGGGAGGGATAAGGGGAAAAAAGGGGGAGGGCATTACTATTAGCAGACATAACGTAGGGGGGGCGCGGGGAAGGCTGTGCAACACAAAGGAGACAAGTAGTGATTTTACAGCATCTTACTACGCTGATGGGAGTGACCAATGTGGTATCTGGGGGGGACTTGGTGAAGGGGGGGGTCTAGTAAACATAACGTTCCTCATGTAACTGTAGATTAATAATACCAAAATAAATAAACAAACAAATAAATAAATAATAAAGACTCTAGTATGAAAACTGGTTTTGCACACAGGAGGTGACTCAGTCCTGGGACTGAGGGACTGACACACACGCGGGCTGCCCTAGCAGGAAGAACCGGTAAACACAGCACCCGGCCTTCCAAACTGGCCTTCCAAACCCTGATCGCGGGATACCTCTGAAAGCTGCTCAGCCCCCACCCCACCTACTCCTCTCCCCTCCTCCTCCACCTCTCCAGAAGGTTCTCCAGGGTGGGCTGAGGTCTTGTCTGTTTGCTAAAGAGTAAGTTAAGAATCTTACTTAACGTCCTGGGTGTTAAAATGCAATCTTACCTTTTAAGATGGGATCCTTCCTGCCTTTTACTATACTGTTCGTGGCTGGGCTTACGTGCCATATTAATTGCCCAGGTTATACATTGCTTGATTAGGGGCTGGAGGAAGAAAAGCAGCATCTGGGCAAAGTTAAAGATAAACTGGGCCTTTTAGCAAGCTAAAGTAAATTTTACAATGGCCTCATTTAATTGACACAATGCATACATGGGCTTGTGCTCAGGTATTTTCTTATCTGGGGGATGTTCAAACATTCCAGGCCAGGTTACTCCTGGCTTTTCAGTTTTAACTAATCTTCACTGAAGAATGCTTATACTCCCACTTTGATTTTCTACTTTAGAGAATTAATGTGACTCTGACTTTGCTGAATTGTTTAATACAGAGTTTTGGTAGAGGTCTTTTTCCACAGGCCCCCACCCTACTCTGACTACACCCACGGTCCCTGTCTCAGAATCTCTGTGACTAGTCATAAATTACTCAGCTGCAGATTACAAACCGAAAAGACAGAAAGATGACTTTCTAAATACAAGAAAATGCACTGTCAGTTCCCAGATCAAAGTAAAGAAACCTCATTACCAAATAAAAAACATGAGAAGTACCTCATGAAAAATTTTTTATTTCAAAGGTGCTGCCTCCAGGCGGCCTCACCCCCGCCGCCCCGCCGCGAGTCACCAGCTCCACAGGCCCTCGCCGAAAAAAAACCACATACGGCAAAACGCCCACCGGCCTCCCCGTCTGCGCAGCCCAGGCGGACGCGCGCGGCGGGGCGGAGAGCAGCCGCCCTCACCACCCGGGCCCGGAAGGTGGAGCAGCGGCTCCGGCGGGCACCTCTCCCCCCGCCACGGCGAACTTAGCCAGCCGCTCGGACGTCCTCCCCGGGCGCACCCGCTCCGCTCCCTCCCTTCCCGGGCGGCCCCTCAGGCGGAGCGCGCCGACTCCCGGCCCCTAGCCGGGCCCCGCGAGCCACGCGCTGCCCGCCGAGCCACTCGCACTGTCGCCCCCTCGTCCGGCTCCCCCGCGCCCCGTCCGGGTCCCGCCGCGCCCCGCGGCCACGTACCTTCCAGCCTGCAGAGCCGTCGCTGTCGCCTTCACCCCCGAAGCAGGGCCCGCTCTGGACCCTCCACTGCAGATCTGCGGCAGCGGGAGCCGCTTCTCGGCCAAGCTCTCTGAAGTCCGGCCGGGCCAGCGGCTCCAAGTCCGGGCCGATCGCCGCCCTCCGCCCTCCGCCCGCCGCCGGAGAGCCGAGAAGGGGCGAGTGCGGCGCCGGGCGCCCAGCGGGCGCGAAGAGGCGATCCGAGGGCGAGGTCGGTGTCGCCCCCACATGAGCGCTGGAAGGACGGCGCAGCCAAGCTGAGCGCGGGCCCAGAACTTCACTGTCCATCAACATCTGGTCTTCGCGGGGTCCCCTGAGGGGATGGGACGGCGGGCCGGAGGCGCCCGGACTGGGCCGGCGGACAGAAGCACGGAGGGCGCCGCAAGGGTTGGCTCTCGGGGAAGGACTCACGATCCTACTGACTGTTGAATATGGCGGGCGGCGGTGCCTGCAGCTAATACGCAGCCGCCGAACTTACGTGATCTGCGCGCGCGCCCAACCCCCCGATTGACGGCCCTCGCAGCCAATGAGCTCGCGGCGCCGTGGCGCAGGCAGTCATTGGGCGGGCGCGCAGAACACGTAAGTCCGGCGGGTGCGTAATGGCTGCAGGCGCCGCCACCGCCTTATTCAACAGCCAGTAGGAACGCGAGCGTCGCCGGGAGAACCCTCTCTCGGGGCATGCTCCGTCCTGCGGTCCGCCGGCTCTGCCCGGGCGCTTCAGGCCCGCCGTCCCGTCCGCGCAGCGGTCCCGGCGGAGACCAGATGTTCATCGACCCGCGAAGTCCTGGGCCCGCGCTGTGCTTGACTACTCCCAACTCCAGGGCACGTTTTTGTTGTTTGCCTGTTTATTTACTGAGTGTCTTGGACATTTTTAGTGAAGTCTACTTTCTCTGCAGTCTGAAGCTTCTAATGGAGAGTGCACAGCACTGCGCATGTACATGCCTTGGGATGATAGTTTTATCTGGGCCCGCTCTGACTGCCGTTCTCCCAGATCGCCCAGTTCAGCTATGTGCCCCTGCTGGCATCATATCCAACTGTTAGGTGCTTGGGAAGAGGATTATCCAATTGTCTTTTTACCATAAAACTTGAATGTTAAAAAAAAAAAAACAGTTACACTGGCTTCTGCGGATTAATTCTATCATTAAATAAAATTTGAGATTGCCTCAGTATTTCATAGCATAATTTTGCATTGATGTAGGTCAAATTATATTGCTTAAAGAATTTGTATACATAAAGAATTAAATCATGTGTGAGATACATGTAAATCCCATGCTTACAGGTTTATAGATTCCATCATGGCATTAACAATTGTAGATATTCCTACTTTCTATTAAGATAAACAATTTAAAGAAAAATGGTAATTTTTCCTCAGAATTATTAAAATGTCTGCTTTTCTATTATGATTTATTTCTTGCTCACTTCTAAAATAATTTATGAAATTATTTTAAATGGTGAATGCTAAGATATTATTTAAATTTTCATAAATAGACAAAAGCAATTAAGAGCTGGCTTCTGGTTGTTAGTCTGAGCTGAAGCTAACAAAGTTATAAAATATTAACATATCTGGAAGAAGAGTTACTTGATTTCGTCTTCATGTGAAGATGTCTGTGATCCTAGAGGTTGTCATGTGAAAATTAAAGCACATAGAATTTAGAATCTTATTAACACTCTAATCTAGCCCAGGCCCCAGATGATGCCCATTAACATCTGTGACAGCTGACTCTCAGGCATCCTTTTGCATTCTAACAAACCCTGACCAATCCTCAGACCCATTTCATGTGCGGAAGGTTATTTCTCCTATTGAACAAAATGCTCCCTTCTTATATCTTTCATTAACTAGCATGAGGCCTGTCTTCTGATAAAATCCAGATCAACTTTTTTCTCGTATTCTAAAGAAGAACATTGATGTAGGACTGAAAAATGTAATTGTATGCTATTCACAAATAAGCCCACTTATGAGGAAACATACCAGTTAGTAGGCTTTTGGCCACAATAAATAGCATATGGGACATAATGTGGCTTAAACAGTGGGGTTTATTAATAAATCTCATTTTTTGAGAACTCTGGAGGTAGGTAATTGCAGAGACAGTTAACACAGCAGCTTTGGAGCAGCTTCTGTCCTTGTGAATATGCATGCACAAGTATTACTTCCTTACTAAGTGTAGCTAAAAGGCAGGGAATGGAGGGAACTTTCTTTGTATCCAGAACCTTTTATCCCATTAAGACACAGAAGAAGATTCCTCTTTTGTGTCAATGGCCAGGACTGGGTTACCTGCCACCTCTAAACTCACTGTTAAGGTAAATGAGGTTATCATGATAAAGTAGGAGTTAAGCCAATCAATACTTATGGGGAACCAGGCATAATGTCTCTTACCCAGACAAAATTGGGATTCTACCCCCAAGAACAAGAGCAGAATGGCTGTTGGGTAGTCAGCTCACAGTCTTCCAAAATATCTTAATCCAAATTTGAAAATCAAGTACTATAGTTGATATTTTTTTTCTAGTAGATCCTATGACAAAGTATGCTTTTATAAGATTTGAGATATACTTCATACACATAAAATTCACCCACTTAAAGTGTACAGTGGTTTTTAGTGTATTCATAGCCATGCAAACATCACAGCTTAATTTAGAACACTTCCATCACCCTAAAAACAAACCCCATACATATTAGCATTGATTCCCCACTATCTCCCTGCCTCAGCACTGGCAACCCCTACCTACTTTCTGTTTCTATGGATTTGTCAGTTCTGGACATTTCACATAAATGGAATCATATAATTTGTAATCATGTGTGACAGACTTCTTTCACTTAGCATAATGACTTGTAGGTTTGTTCATATTGGAGCATGTATCAGTACTTCATACTTTTTTATTGCCAAACAATATTCCATTTTAAATAAACCCACTTTTTAAAATCCATTCATCAGTAGATGGCCATTTGCTTTGCTATCATTTTTTGTCCATTATGAACAATCCTGGCATAAGCATTTGTATGCAAGTTTTGGCATGAACATATGTTTTCAATTCCCTTGGGTAAGTACTTAGGCATAGAATTGCTGAGTCACATGGGAAGTCTATGTTTAGTATTTTAAGGGATTGCCAAACTATTTTCCAAAGCAGCTGTACCATTTACATTCCCACTAGCAATGAATGTGAGTTCCAGTATTTATGAACACATATTTATGGATACTTGTTATTGCCATCTTTTTTATTTTAGCCATCATAGTGGGTGTAAACAGGTATCTAATTGAGGTTTGATTAATTCCCTTATAACTAATGATACTGAGCATCTTTTCAAGTACTTGTTGGCCTTTTGTATATTTTCTCTGAATAAATGTCCATTCAATTCTTTGTCCACTTTTAAATTGTTTATGTCCTTTTGTTGTTAATTTATAAGCATTCCTTATGTATTCTCATATAAATCCTTTGAAAATATTTTCTCCCATTCTGTAGGTTGTCTTTTCACCTTCTTGACAGTGTTCATTGAAGCACAAAACATTTTAGTTTTGATATAGTCTAATTTATCTACTCTTTCTTTTATTGCTATGATTTTCATTTGTATATTTGAAAACATTGCCTAATCCAAGGTCACAAAGATATACTTCTGTATTTTCTTTTAGGAGTTTTATAGTTTTAGCTCTTACATTTAGGCCTACAATTAATTTTGAGTTAATTTTTGTGTGTGATGAGAGGTATGAGTTCAACTTTATTGTTTCACATGTGAATATCCAGTTGTATCAGATCCATTTACTGAATAGGCTATCCTGTCCCCATTGAATTGTCTTGGAATAAAAATTGGCCATAAATGTAAGGTTTTCTTTCTGGTTTTCCTCAGTTCTATTCTATTGATTCTTATGATTCTTATGCCAGTCCCACGGTGTCTTGATTATCGTAGATTTTTTTGTAAGCTTTCAAACTGGAAAGTGTATATTCCCCAATGTTTTTTTTTTTTCAAAATTGTTTGTCTATTCTGGATCCCTTGCATTTCTGTATAAGTTTTATGATCGGTTTGTCAATTTCTGAAAAAAATCCACCTGGGATTTTGGTAGGGATTGCATTGAATCTAGCAATCAGTTTCAGAAGTGTCACCATCTTAACTGTATTGTCTTTTGATTCACAAGTATAGGATGTCTTCCATTATTTCGACCTTTTAAAATTCTTTCAAAAGAGAGCTTTTTGTAGCTTTCAGAGCCTAAGTTTTACACCTCTTTTGTTAAATGGATTCCCAACTATTCTATTTTTCATGTATTGTAAACAATTTCTTCTTTATTTTTGGATTGTTTTTTGCTAGTGTACAAAAATGCGATTGATTTTTTATATGTTGATTCTGCATCTTGACATTCTGCTGAACTTATTAGTTCGAATTGTTTTTCAGTGGCTTCTTTTGGATTTTGTGTATGTAAGATCAGGTCATCTGGAAATAAAAGTTGTTTTACTTCTTTATTTCCAATCTAGATGCCTTTGTTTTTCTTGCCTAAATGCTCTGGCTAGAACTTCTAATACAATGGAATAGAAATGGTGAGGATGGACTTCTTAGGGGGAAAGCTTTCAGTTTGTCTCCATTAAATATGATGCGAGTTGTGGGTTTTAGTAGGTTCTCTTTTTATATGGTGGAAATTCTTTTGTATTCCCTCCTAGACTGCTGCCAAAGTCCTGTTTAACAACTTTGTAAAGTAGAATCAGTTTCCATTTTCCAAAATTTCCCTTCTCCCCTCACCTTTCTCCCAGTTTTCATTTACTTGTTAAATTTTTATTGGGCCTATATTTAATAATAGAGTAGTTTTAAGAAATTACTCAAGAATTTAATTGTCAGGTAGGGGATTCTCTCTCCCCACCCTTTGCAGGTGCTAGAATTGCTCTCTCTTTTCCCCTTCTTTCTCAGCATGAGTTACTAATAATTTATACTTACTGTAAAACTAAGTCATTGCCTGAGGGGGACTGCATTTCAAACTTTTCTCTAATTGATGTGTGAAAGACATTTTGTGGTTAAGGAACTTCAGGCTTCCTTAATAATCACTGAGGCTGCCACCAACTCCCATTGAGGAAAACAAACTGATAGTTGATATGAATCATCTTGAGCAAAATGGTAACAGAAAAGCTCCTTCAGAGTGGTATAGAGTAATTTTAATATTAAGTTCGGTTTCCTGTCTGTTTATGTTGGCTAGTTTTGGGGATCAACCTCTTGAGCTCTGAGTTTGGGTGACATTCAGCCTGTTAATAAATAAACAGTGGTATGGGTGAGGTAGGCAGACCAGCTCTGCTGCCTTGGAGAGGTGCTTTACTTCCTTACATCCAACCTTCTCTCAGAAAGGATTTCATGCCACTTAAATCAAGTGATGAGGAAATCGGGACTCTGGGAAAGTGAGGGCCAGAAAGACAGATGCACCACATCTGTTTGGGACATGTGGACTCCCTGCCTGGGCTCATGGGAAACCCTAGCGACTCCTGGAGGGAGATGCTACTGCG